AATGGTGAACAGCAGTTCAAAAATTAACAACAATAATATGTCTGTTTTGTAGGTACTTATTGTTTGTAATGGTTTTTGTAAATAACGGTTTAACCAGGTATATTCTTTATGTTCCAGGTTTTATGAAAGGTTTAATATACCATCTGCGATAGGGTGTATTGATGGTACACATGTAGCCATCATTAGGCCATCAGAAAATGAGGAGAGATTTTTTAACCGCAAACATTTCCATTCAAGGAATGTTATGATTGTAAGGCAATACTTCTCATTAATTAATTATATAACCCATTTGACTTGTTGTAACAACTTAGTTTAATAACCCTTTTATATTATTTTCAGATAAGTGATGCAGATTTAATGATTCTGTCAGTAGATGCTTCATATGGAGGGGCATCACATGACAGTTTTGTATGGAATCAGCATCCTGTGAAACAACACTTAATTGATTTTAATAATAATGGAGAAAATGTATTTTTACTAGGCAAGTATCTAAATGTTGTAAACAAGTCATCAGTCATATCTGCATTTTTCTGACTGGGAATATTTTTTATTTAGTTTTTGTTTCAGGTGATTCTGGATATGCACAGAGGGAGTTCATGATGACACCAATTATTGATGCTCCTCAGGGTTCACCCGAAGAATATTACACCAAACTGCATTGTACGGCACGGAATACAGTGGAGCGTACCATTGGTGTATTGAAAAATAGATGGAGGTGCTTACTCAGGCATAGGGTGTTACATTACCACCCTGATGTAGCAGCTAAAATAATAAATGCATGTTGTGTGTTACACAACATGTGTTTAAATAGGGTAGATGAATATCTTGAGGACAATACAGCTGAAAATGAAAATGATTACCAAGATGTCACTGCCCAAGAATCTTCTGGTAGTAACACAGCTGCTGAACTAAGACGAGGTATCGAAAAGAGAAATGCTTTAGTTCAGCAGTTGTGGGCGAGCAGAAGGTAAATGTTTTTATTTTAAATTTGTATTTGGCTTTTTTTAATCTATTGTATTTTTTTATCATTTCTGTCTTTATTATAAATTAGTTGTCCTTTTTTATTATATGTCATATCATTTTTATATAGTATTATTAGTCTTAATTATGTTATTAAGAAAGAATATAAATACAATATAAAAAGAAAACTTTTATTTATTTTACCCATTTTAAACTATAACATAAATCAACAATATAAAATTAAATCACAAATCAACAATGTAACAAGGAAATCATAATTATTAGACCTACATTAAATCAATATATCAAATAGAACTGCTAAGGATTTGGCATTTTACTAGCTACATCTGAAATTGCATTAGCAATAGATGTCAGAGCATTAGCTATATTGCCAATATTTTCTGACAATTTAGCCAATGCTTGTGCTGTAATTAGCTCTGCTTCAACCCTGCGTGCTTCGATACTTGAGAACTGCTCCATTTGT